TTTTTTTTTTTTTATTGCTCAAATATGGTTATTTGTTATTAGACTTTAAGCAAATATAAAAAAGCAGAAAAAAATTTTATTATTATTATTATTGCTTTTAGAATCAGTATAAAAAAAAATTTCTTTTTTACCTTTTTTTTCTTGTTCTTCTTCACCAAGAAAAGAAGGTTCCTTTTTTTTTCCTTAAGTTTTGGTCAATTAAACAGCAGTGAATAGGATAACAGTGTATTAGTGTTTTTTTTTTCCTCCTCCCTTTCAGATTGTTTAATTTAATGTTACAGTTATTTCAATATGCCAATACTTTTTTTGCTTCCTTTCTTGAATTCTTATTATTACTGTTTGTTGCTGTTTTTAATATTAAATTTTTGAAATTCAATATAAATAAAAGCAAAAAAAAAAAAAAAACTAGAAGCTTTTTTTTTTTTCTTTCTATATAATTGTCTGTTGGACAATTAACGGTTTTGCAGTAGTTACTAACTGTTTGCTTGTGTTTCAGAATCATCGATAATCAATTTAGCACAAAATGAAGTGAACATTCAGTATCGTTATGGATCAAATTTTCGACCAAATTCTGTTCTGGTTGTTACCTGGGATCGTACTCACGAACCTGGAGCCAATGTTAGCTATCTATAGTTAATTGTTAAAGCTTTTTCAAAAGAAAAAAAAACTACCAAAAAAGAATCTGTAAAAAGCTATCAGTCTGACGAAATTTTGCTAGCAGAATGCATCAGTCGTCAATCATATTGAATAATTTGTTGGATTTCAAGTTTACAAAAAACAAAAAAAAAAAAAAACAATTAGATTATACTGTTTTTTATGCAGATTTTTGGTTTTTTTTTCAACGAAATTAATGTATACATCCAATTCTTTAACCAATTACTCTGTTCTCTCTTGGTTTTTTAACTTCTAATCTTATTGTAGGAAACTACAGCTAATCTTTTTCAAGCATCAATAATCTTTAGTAAAACAGGAACATTTGCACATTTTGTGTACAGCAAATTAAACTCTAATAACGATGCTGTTGTAAGTTGCTTTTTTTTTTTTGTTATTCATTTGTTCTTTTTCTTCTATTTATTTTTTTAATAATTAAATTCAGTATATTTATTTTGACTTCTATAGTTTCTTAAATTGAATAACATTAGAAGAAAGAAAAAATTTTTTTTTTCTTTGTTTAGTAGTTTGTTGTACCGGTTTTTAACTGGAAAAAAAAAATTAAAGCTTTTAACCAAATTACTAATGTCGGATACCGTCAGAAAGTTCTATTAATATTTGCAAGAAAAAAAAAATTAGGTATTTAGCGACAAATACAAACAAATCAAACTATTGCTTTTTAGTATTCAACACTGAAACCGTTGAGAATAAAGCTAAATTTATCAAATAATGACCTAAAGTTTAAATATTGTATGCCAAAAAGAAAAAGTAGAAAAGCAGTTCTGTCAATGTTTACAGATTATAACCGACTTTTCAAATAAGCGTAAAAAGTAGACAGTAAATGCATAAAATTCTGTTGTCTTTTAGGCTGGCTTCAGCGGTCATGATGGTCATTATTCGTTACCTGAATCGGGTACCTTTAATGCTATTCAGCTTGCTGAACGTAGTGATATTGGTATACCAGGTGAATTTCTTTTCCGAATTGATTCCGACAGCGTCTTCTTATGCGGAGCAGGTTTTAAGGTTGGTTAATCAATTGATTTTTTCACTTTTTCATTAAAGCTTTCTAAAAGCTCAGTTCTTGGTAAATTTTTCGCAGGATATATTCTTTTATTGTACCATCTTACGACAGCAAACCGGTGAAAATGGACTGTCTAGGCAGTCATTTTATGTGCTTCCAGCTGTTCTAAAGTTGAAATTTACAGCTGCTTAAATACTTTAAAATTTTTCCAGTCTTTTTTTAATAACAGGTTTGAAATGAATCTAAACAT